GTGGTGGTTTTCATATTGACTTCAGTCTTTTGAACACGTATTTTCTTACAATGTTATAATGTTATACTCTCATAAAAAAAAAAAAAATGCCCAAAGCCTTGCTCTGACTCATTCATGCATGTTTGAGAAATCCTGCAGCGTTTTTATGAAGCCGTGCTGAGGAGCAAAACGACAGGTGGGGACCAGGTACGCCCCTGGGGCGTGTCTTTAAGCCAAACTTCCTCATGGCAGAGCRCCCCCCCTCCTTCCCTCCCTCCCCACACACCCCGCCCATGACTCCTGCAGGCTCTCGGGTGAAAGTGAAAGTGAAACTTAAACTGTCTGCTGAGCTCTCAACATTAGTTCTCACTCAGCGAAGCTCCTTTCAGATTCAAAATACCTTTGAGGAAATRTATTTTCAGATGCCAAGTGAACTGCATCATTGTGCAGGCGCAACCCCGCGCTCGCACACGGAACAGAAGCGGAAGGTGGTTCTTAAAGAGACAGAGGCCAATTTCAAGGCGTTTAGAAGAGGAAGTGATGAGAAGATAAGTTTATTTTCTATTTAAACATGAAAACAGCATTTTAATAACAGCTAAAGGTGACATAGATGCTTTATTATGGTACAGTATTTAAATATATGCCTGAGAAACACATAATATTGGCCCTTTAAAAATAGCTTTTCAATAGACTGACATGGTCGGACCTTTGCCCCTGATATAACGAAGTGCCTTGCTGTCTGCTCGGAACTAATCAGAGGTCAAAGTCTGCGCTCAGGCTGACAGTCAGAAACAACAGCTGCTGTTTTTGTCAACACTTTCTGATCACCCTCCTAACAGCTCACTCTGTGGAGACCTTTGTTGGATTGCTGCCAGCTGGACACCATGTTGCTCCGGGCTGTGGTCCTGCTCCTCCTCTGCACGTCTTTGGGCGTTTGTGCCACTTTAGGCTACTACCAGACTGACACTAAAGAGGAGGCAGCTGCTCCTGTAGAAACAACCCAACACCTCACGTCTGAGCAGGGAGCTGAGCGAGCTGCCAGTCCTCCTCTGGGAGCTCTCACCCGGGAACCACCTCCTGCTGTGGGCCAAGACAACGAGATCAGGCCAGTCCAGACCAACGTGTCCCCAAAGAAACCTGCAGCAGAAGAAGATGCTGACAGCTGGAGCCTGAACTCCATCAGAAGCAGTTTTCAGACTGTGCACGGATACTTTGACTCCCTGGTGGAGCTGGTTGGAGGACGCAACGGTGTGTGTCAGTACCGCTGCAGATATGGTGAGGAGTGTTTTTACATTTATGTCATATTTTATGTTAAAGCACATGTCAAATTCAAGGTCCACGGGCCAAATCCGGTCCTGGTTAACTTTTTATCTGGCCCCAAATGTAATACAGTATCTTAAAATAAAGGAAGGAGATAATTTGTTGTGTTATTGAGCCATTTATATCAGAGGTTCTCAAACTAGGGTTCCAGGACCCCCAGGGGTCCATGAGTCGTGTCTTGGGGGTCCTCAAAAAATTCAAGAAATTGTTAATTTGGTTTTTATTTCAAAAAATGCATATGTGGAATAATGGACTGGTAAAACAAACATACTATTACCATGGCATTTAGGGGTTAAAATTACAGTAAATTCTTTTGAATTAACAGCATGGGATTTATTAAAGGGGGTCCCTGGAATTGTTTTCACCCTTKTAAGGGGTCCCCAGACCCAAAAAGTTTGAGAACCCCTGATTTAGATATATATGCAATTTATCATTTTCAACAGGAATTTTCCCAGATGACATGAAAATAGCTAAGGTAATTCCTATCTTTAAGAATGGTGGAAAAATACGTGTTTAACAATTACAGACCAATATCCTTGTCACTACAGTTTTCTAAAATTTTAGAGAAATTATTTGTGACAAGATTGGACCAATTCATCAACAAACCAAAATGTTTTAACACTAGAAGTCCCAGAGAAGAGTCATTTAATATTTCYACCTTTGGAACCCARAGACGGATCGATTGAGCTCAATGATTTTAGCTCACATTCTAAATCAGCTGTGAACGGGTGCTTTTGTTTTGAAAATAAGTAATATGAGGGCTGTTTGTTGCCTTTTGTTGTTCATATGGCTGCAGCTAATCCAGACACACCCACCACGCCTGATAATGTTCTCACTCTGTTTCTCAAGGGCTCCTGTTTACAAGTTTTTGCTCTGAAGATGTGGTGTGTTGCAAAGAACACAACAGGATGCCACTGTATTTTCAGAGCTACAGTAAAAAAAAAATGTAAATATAGTATCTTACAAACATCTTT